TTTTTACTGTGCAGCAGATATGAGAAATGGATTCTGATTGGACCAGCAAATATTAATGAACCAATCAGCAATAATTCCATACATACCTCCGAAAATGAAGAGTTGCAGGTCTGTAGTTCGAAATACTCTGTCGCCAGTTCAACGTATAGAAAATATACAGAGAAGATACATAATAATATCAAGCATAGTAAGTCTAAATTATAGACATAAACTATGCTCTCCTGCAAGTCAATTAAAGGCCTGTTAATGGAATATTTAAAGATTTTCACTTCTTATTGCTTGTAAGATGGGCTGACATGGAAAAAGCGTCTAGTCGTCCGGATGGGACAATAAACCGAGGCCCCGGCTGTGCACGTTAAAGACAGTTGGAAATCGAAAAAGAGCAGGCTAATACCGTTGTCCTGGTAAAATTTCCCTCATTGCACCCTGCATGGCGTTGCCATTAGCCCAAATGGTGCAGAAAAGTAGGACGTAAAACTCCATTCATTTCATTTCATTTCTCATTTATTGCTTATTTTGACCTAATGGTATGGGCCTACTTTGGTACATTTTTTTTCTGGATATGGAGTCGCTTTAGGGGTTGGGACTCGTGGACATAGTTCAACCAATCCCTTTAATTTGTTCAGACGGACAACGCTGGACTTCCAATGTTGTCGGATCTTATATAAGGTTTGTTGAATTGAACGCAAACCTACATTCATTTAGTATATGCAATGATTTTTTATATCCCGGAAAAGGTTATGGTTTGTATTATTCTCCTGATGTTTCGGATAACCTCCTGCTCCAGAAACACTTTGAGTAGTTTACGATCACAATTTTCTTTACTTATTTCAAGCTAATAATTAAGTTCATGCCTTAAAATCAAATGTATATGTTGAAAGTTAACCATCAAAAAACATTCGACAAATAAGAAAGTAATTTGGAGTACATAGTAGCAACCGATCGTCACCTCTCCTACACATTGTTGATCTTACTTCGACCCTTTCATACCATCGAACATTTTCTTCTCCGTCTAGTATGCATGGCACAGTGTATTTTTCTATCTGAACATCCGTCAAAAACCCGCGTTCAAGGAAGTGTCATATTCCTTGAGCCAACAAAAAGCGTGAAAAAATTGATGGAAAGTGTCAATTTGAGGTTGAGAAGAAACCTTTTAACATGTCTGTTTATTTGGCCAGTCTACAACAACCCAACTTGTCTCTGGTGTGTTTAACTCTTAAACTCATCGATTTTGATTTTTGACATTGAATCCTGAGCCGGTCTCAGCACGTAATCAAGTTATCTTTTGTAGGATAAGAAATTTACTGTGTCTATATAGACCATGCATTGGTCGTGTACATTAGATGTCAATTTCTATGTCTCCCATTGTATTTGTATCAAATTTAGAATAATATTTACCCAATATTGACTGATCGACATGTTCTAAATGAGATTTTTGTCAACATAATTTGTTTACTTTCTGTCCACCCAAATACAATATTGAGTGTTTACTATGTTAAGTTCTTTCAAAACAGGGCCATCAAAATATAATAATAATAAAAAGTTTTCGATTTTATCGTCAAATAATTTAGTAAAATAGCCTTGAAATCAAACTACGAAACGTGCTTTTTCCAACGTAATTTTTTCGGTGATCTGATGCAGCGTCATTATTTTTCGTAAAGACTCGAAGGAATAATAAATTAAGACTTTCTTTGGTACACGTTGTCCATGCCCATAAATGCTTTCTGTATCAAAGTAGAGAAAAAGGACGAAAAACTTATTTCATTTTTGTAGAATAAAGATGCTATTTCCGCAATGGCTGATGTTTCCAATACATATGCTGCTTCTGCTTTTGCTGATGTTTCCGAAACAGATGCTGTGTCTGAGGTATAGCTACTGTTTCTGAAATTGCTGATGCTGACAATACAATGCTGCCTCTTCCTCACCCGTTTCTGTAATTGCTAATGTTTCAATATTGCTGCTTTTCCTGCTTTTGTTAATATTTCTAATCTAGCTTTTTCCATTGCAGATGTTGCCAATACAGATGCTGTTTCTGCTATTATGATATTTCCTTCTGCTTCCAATAATATGCTGTTTCTGCAACTGCTGATGTTTTAAATACAGCTGCTGTTTCTGCTTATTCTGATGTTTTCAATACAGATGTTGCTTCTGCAACTGCTGATGTTTTCTTACAGATGGTGTTCCTTTCCGATATTTCAAAAACAGATGCTTCTTCTACTGTAGCCAATGTGTCCAATTTACCTGCTGCTTCTGCTAATATCTTCAATACAGATGTTATTTCTGCTAATTTAATGTCCATTGATACCAATTTAGCTTCTGATGCTGCTATTTCTGTCCAATTTTTTAATACAGATGCTGTTTTTGCTATTCTGGTGAAGGTTAACTATATTGATGTAGTTTAAGATACTTTACAGATGCTGTATTTGCTATTGCTTTAGTTCATGGCCGGCCATTGGCTGACGATGATATACGGCACGAAACAAACAAGGGCAGACAATAATAAGTTAAAAGCAAAATTCAGTTATAGATCAGAATAAATAATATATAGGTAGAGTTTATTTTAATCAATTTGGTTGGACTTTAAATACCATAAAATATATATAAGCAATAAGTGCAAGTAGTAAAACAGAACAAAACAATATTTCCAAACATTCACTTTGGCCATTGAAGTTGGACATTGAAGCAATGGAAAAAACACCTTTATTTCTAAGTTGTACTGTAAATAAACTGTCTATCATGTATTAACTGTCTAATATTACTAAATCTCTTCCAAGTAAAAACCAGTTCCCACAAACAAACAACTTGATATCCATTATTGAAGAATTAGCATTGATCACAAAAACTAAACTAAAAAAACAACAATAATTGATAGATATTCAAATGTGATTTGAGGTAGTTTTTAAATGAAATTCAATACTTAATTACTTACTTTATCAATTTCCTTTTCTAACCTGATCATTTTCAGAGCTATGTCATTATATATTATGAATATCTGTTGAAGTAAATCATAAAAATGGTTGGGGACATTGATTGATATCATTTCTTGACAAAAAATACTTCAAATCATACAAACCATAAAATGCATAATGTTGTCAAATCATAGAATTTGACATGAATATCATCATTTGACTTGAATATCATCATTTGACATGAATATCATCACTTGACTTGAATATCATCACTTGACTTGAATATCATCACTTGACTTGAATATCATCACTTGACATGGATATCATCACTTGACTTGAATATCATCACTTGACTTGAATATCATCACTTGACATGGATATCATCACTTGACTTGAATATCATCACTTGACTTGAATATCATCACTTGACTTGAATATCATCATTTGACATGAATATCATCACTTGACTTGAATATCATCACTTGACTTGAATATCATCACTTGACTTGAATATCATCACTTGACATAAATATCATCACTTGACATGAATATCATCACTTGACATGAATATCATCAATAAGAGTAATATGTATGGATTGTGAAGAGGTTTTCTAAATTTTAAGTGTATGGGGGGACACTGATAGCTTCAATTTACATCATCCCAATTTTCAATCAGACCTGCAATTCTTCTAAAACTAAGCGTTTGATGACTTCACTTATAGCAAAAAATAGTATATTTAGCGATTAGTGACGTCATCACAACTTATTTTTTGCGGAATTGCTGGGATCACAGAATTCTGACTGAAAATTGAAATGGTGCAAATTGATGCTATCAGTGTCCCCCCATACACAATCTCTTTACAATCACTTTAGAGGGGAACAACGTAAAAGGCGTCTAAATCTAAATAAAATACCATATTTGAACTTGAACAATTCTCATCCATACAACATGCATACCAAGTTTTATCAAGATGATAAAAACAGAGCATCTATTGTATCTAAAAGATAAGTTGCAGAGACTTCAATAAATATCAACATTTCCTTGTTGGATACAAACAGTACACAGTACTCATCCCTTGAGTAGTCTCTTAATGCAGGTTTTACTGTATAGTACAAAAACTCTAAACTGGTATAAATAAACTAAAAATAATCCAGCAGTAAATCTATCTAGCATAAATTCTAGTAACTGGACACAATTATACAGAAATTAATTACTTCAAGAAACTTGTGATGTTTTACGATAGAGAATGTCTAATAATCACTTGATTAAATTAAATAAATTTTATCATAGGCTTAGGAGACAAGGGGGCAGGGAAATACTATCTTTTTGGCACAGACGGGTGCTCAGAGTCGTGCTTCCCTCAACCCCTTCAAAATTTTTGGACAAACCAGCCTGCCTTTGAATTTCATCATGATAAAGACAGTTTTGAAACATTGCAAGTAATTTAAAGTGGGTTTCCTTAGATTTTAGTGTCAAATTTAGCAAACTAATTGATCAAATTGGTGTTTCTATTGAATTATCATGTTAATCATATGATTAAGAGTTTTAACCAATCATAAATGTCCATGTATGTACAGTCTGGATAAACAAAAAAAGACTTTTTGACCTCTCTTGATCTGTCACCATCTACCATAACGTAGCCCATCTTTAATAATATAAAAGTGATTCCATACAATTATGTCCAGTTTTTTATACTCCCAATTATTAAATACAAATATTACATTATTTTGTCATTATCTGATAATGCACAGTAGTAAAAAATAAGTGAGTGCTTTTAAATTTGTCATAAAAATATATATAAAAAAAGTATACAATTTAAAATATATACCCTAAATTAGTGTTTTTTTTATTAATTAACACTAAATGCATATTCAAAAAAAACAGTCAGAAAATTGATATAGAGTAGTAAGTAAAATAACTAAACAATAATCTGATATAAATGCAGACATTGTTTAGACCATTGAAAAATAATTTTACTTTTTTATTTATCTCTAGCACCAAGTTTAGAAACTTAACAAGAATAATGATATACATAACAATGAAATGTACCAATATATATTAGTTTTGAATCTATGTTTGTCTACAATCTTTCACACATCATAAGCTAGACCAGATGATAACCATGTTTCAACTTCACTTATTGGTAATCCTTTACGAGATGCATAATCTTCTACCTGAAAGTTAAAAATAAGAAAACATCAATACAATTACATCAAAAATTTTCTACAATTTTCATAATTATCTTTTTTCTTGGGGCAGTGGGAAGAAATTCATATCAAATATTATTCAGTATATAAAAATATTTTTAATCCTGACAAAAAAGACCTTGAACAAAACATTTTGTGTCAAACATTCAGTATTTAGAGAAATTTTAAAGATTACACATAACTAAGACACAATTGAGTTTTCAAAGAAGAATTCATCCAAGTTCTCATCATATATTAGTTAAAGGGATACTACGTCTTAGAATAAACATAAAATTTAAAAGTTTTAAACTTGGCCAATAAGAGCATATATATATCAGTAGATATACCTGGTTTCATAAATAACATAACAGGATCCTTATATAATCCGATTAATCCAAAAAACTTAATAAAAATGCAATTAACTATATTGAAAAATGTTTAATATTAAGATTAAGCGTTTTTCAATAATTACTTAGTTTTATTAATTTTTCTATCGTCCAGATTTTACAGGAATTCTGTTGTAACTTTATGACACCATTCTTGAGAATTAAATTTTATGTTCATTCTAAGACCTAGTATCACTTTAAGCAATCAACTGTTTATTTTATTTTATAAATTTGCTATTTGTTGCAACCATCATATTTAAGCCCCCCTCAGTGTGATTTCCAGAAAGTCAAATGTGTTAAGTGTGTATAGATATTTGCTTTGAAATAATTATTTAACAATGGAGAGAAAAATTAAGAATTTATCGAAATCTGTTTACCTGATCTTTAGTAATTTTACCAACAGAAAAATAAGTAGAATGAGGTGAAGCAAAGTATAGACCAGAAACAGAGGCAGCAGGATCCATAGCTAGTGATTGAGTTAATGTTATACCAACATCATCAGCATTTAACAGCTTCCACATAGTTTCTTTTTCTGTATGATCTGGTTGACTAGGGTAGCCTGGTGCTGGTCTTATACCCTGAAACATCATAGACAGTATAGTAAAAACAGGGAAATGCTTATAATTGTGCTCTTACAGCAGATGGTGGCTTTATGGAATGCTATGCTGTACAGTTATATTTTTTGGCATACCAATCCCCAATTGTACAGTAACTTTTTATGTAAACATTCAAAGAAAAAGATGAGCCTTGTTAATGTTTTAATGACAAATAATGGTGTCATACTGGCCAATACATCTTCAATTTCATCACAATCTTGTCCCATTTACCTATTGTAGATGTAAGCAAATAAAACTGATCTATTGTAGTAATATATTTTCCATGTATCAAGTATCAGTGTTCAATAGAAGAATTTACCTTGTATTTTATCTTATGTAAATCTTTGGTCTCCATCTTTTCTTCAGGACAATATCCCCAATATTCTATTCTTACTTTCTCATGTAAATATTCAGCGAAGGCCTGGAAACAAATCATATCAAAATAGTACTATTGCAAACAATCATTTCATTTTCTCTACCTTTATTACACCTTTTATTAGAACTAGATGGAACACATGATGCACAAATTTCTTAAATCTACAACAATCTGAAAAACTATATCAGATCTCCTATCTTCATTATTCACATGACGCTCAGATGTAAATGAATATAGATAATCTGACAAAGAACATTACAAAAAGGTTTGGTCCCAGACCAGCCAGTTGAAAGAATCAATTGAAATGAAGTTGTAAACCTTCTAGATTTACTTTCCTGCAATAAATATAAACAATTTTTGTAAAGAATACAATTCAGTTTCATCTAAATTACATAATAACTTATATTTTTTGTATTTCATTACTATTTAAAGGTAACAGTTTTTAATTTATTAAAAAAGGCTCTATTACGTGTCATTCTGGTAAATATACATAACAATATTACCTCTGCCAGTCTGTCAGCTAATGCTTTTACCATAATAGAATTATAATCATCATGATTATCTATAAATCTAAAATTATTGAAAATAATGTTTGGTGTCGGTAGTATTTTGTAGAGTGGCTTAATTCAGTTGAAACTAAAACTTAGACAAATCAATGGTATAAGAGATGTACTATAGCTCAGCATTAGAGAATTGAAATCTTGAAGTCTGTAGTTTTGTTACATACAATACATTTAAATGGCTCTTTCAATCATGGCAACCTTGAAAAAGTCATCTGCAGTCAATATTTCCATTGACACAGCTGTAAATATGGTATGGATAATTTGAGATCAGTGGTAAAAGGTTTGACCAAGGATCAGCTGGAAGACAGAGTTATTCTTCATAAAAGAATGTTGTTTATTTTGAATACAAACGCAAGCAAAACAGAAAGAAGGTTGTCAAATTTGACTCACATTGAATCCCGAAGGTGAAATGTAAACTTTACTTACACTTTACACATATCATCTACACCAATACCAGCAGTAACAGCGAATAAACCAATATAATCATCTATTCCACTATCTTTAGGTGCTATAAAATCTGATAAACAACTATACGAATCTACATTCTCATTTACAACCTATAATCATAAATAATATATCTTATTAGGCACATAACAACAGAGTTGATATATTTTCTATTCAGTAACCCTCCAGCCAGTCATTATAATATACATATACTGTTTATAAGTCACAAATCAATTATGTTGGGAATACTAGAGCAGCAGCTAGGAGCAGTTTGATCACACAAACGAACACAGAAATATCAATTTAGTACAATCAAACCCCTGGAGCAATCACCTGGACCTTTCACACCCCAAAAATTTGTTTTATCCACATTTCCACTCCAGCATGTGATGATGTGAGGTGCTCTCTCAAATCAAAATAAATTCTTCTCCTACACCAGTTGGTCACACCCCTTACACCCTAGTCCCACACACCGGTTGGCCACACCCCTTAAACCCTAGTGAGTGAAAACACCCCAGTTTGGGAACCGGGTATTTAGTCTGACATACCTGTTGACGTAAACCATGTAGTGTAGCTATCTGAGTGTTATTTTCATCATATACAGCTATATCATCACCTATACTATTAGCTTTATAAAACCCTAGCACTCCACTAGCTGTTAAACTTGAGTTATTTATAATATTAGTCAACATTACTTGAGCATCATCAAATACTCGCTTAGCTTCTCCTCCTTAAAACATAGAAAATACTTTCATCTTTAAGAGATGTCATAGATTAAAGGGAGACAACTGTATTCTTGCTTTTCTTGGTGAATTGAGTTTTACTGACTGACCAAATTGTGTGATATGAACAGCTTTAAAATAGTAATAATATTCTTAGAATAAGTCTTTATGTTGATAACAATGACAACATAAGCAGATATCATCAAATCAAATTTACAAAAGGGCAATATTCAATTCCAAAATTGTAATATTTTTTAGTTTGAAAGCCTTCAGTCACAATACTGTATCTTAGTATCAGTTTACAATTTGGATCTGGTATTCAAATTCACATAAAAATACGAGTAAAATTTGATTGACGATCATTAGAGAAAGTATGATTAAAACACAAATTTTGATTCATTTTCTGCAGTTGGCTCTATTTGCAAATCATTTGGCCTTCCATGATCATGCAGTTAAATGCATCTTACCATTTTGGGTCAATATTCAATATCAATATCCTTATGATTCATTTTTATTCAATCATAATTGAACAATACAAAAAAAACATGACTTACCAACGGCTTTGTCCTGGAATATTTTTGGGTACCCTCTGTTAGGATATTTTCCATGTAGCTGCCATACATCAAAAAATGGTTTCCAATCAATATAAGGTAATAATACAGAAATATCTAAGTTTTTAAACGTTTTGGTTCCAATGAAAGATGGTTTTGCTGGAAAAAAAAAAACAAAGATCAGATAGTCAAAATAGTAGTAAGTGTTAAGTGTTTGTATAATTTGCAAAATAAAAAACAGTTTCAGAGTTTGTTGTTGTATGTTATTTTTCAGCTACATCCTGTTCTCACCTGGTTTTTCTTCTTTAGGCCAATCAATTTTAAATGATTTCTTTCTTGCTTCTTCTATCTTTAAATATTTTCTATCCTGAAATCAATGACATATTTGGAAAAATTGTAAGACTCAGGGAAGTCCTTCTATAGATTATAGAAAATGAAATGGAATGAATTTTAGCCTTTTTTTGCACTGTGTGATCTAATGAAGATGGACTGTTTTGCCAGGACAGCGGCATTTGTCTGCTCTTTTTCGATTTCCAACTGTTGAGGGATCTTAAACATGCAACATAACAAGAAGCTTACCTTTAAAGAATCATAATGTTCTTCTCTAACTTCTTCATATTCTTCTTTAATATCTTCTATAAATTCTTCATATACATTCTCATTTAATAATGATGAACACTACAAATATAAACAATGTAGTATACCGGGCCAATGCTAGAACAAAACTGTCATATCAGCATATCAACAACACATACAAAGTTAACATATAAATAAGTGATATACACTATGACAAACTTTCCATAAACAAGCTGACAAAAGGTTTCTTTCCAAATTAGTTTTAAAATCACCTATAAATATATGCTTACCACAACTACACTTTTTGAAGCATCTAAGACATGAATGGTAGGATTATTATATTTGGGTGCTATTTTGACAGCTGTGTGTGCCCTAGATTAAACACAAAAAGAAAACGGAAAAATTAATGAAAATCGATTCTGTTTCACATATTAATTTGATTTTGGTGCTTTTTTGAAGACTGTATCTGCCTTAAATAGATAAAAAAAAGTGACAGTTAATGAAATGTAAGTGTTTTTGTATCCCATATCAGTTTGAAGCAATTTGATAGCACTTTTGGGCAGATCACAAATACAAATTCATGCATTATACATTTCTGTTACTGATTGGAAACAACACCATGCTGCGTTTAAAACCATCAATTTGTTCATTCTAAACAGTCAAGGGTAGGTTATTTCTCTGCATTTGCTTCCATGTCAATTTGTGAAATCAGTTTGGAGAATCACTAGGCACTGTCTCAACCTGTACGGAATATTACCCTTTGATCCCTAGATTATAGAGCAACAGTTTTAACTACATCCATAAAATGAACAAGATAACTGAAATGAAATGAATGGAGTTTTACATCCTACTTTTCTGCACCATGTGGGCTAATGAAGACGGAACAAGAAAATTGAAGAATACAAACATTAACATACTTTGAGGTAGTAGCTCCACCTATTAATAAAGGTAGTTTCATTCCTATTCTTTCCATTTCTTTAGCTACATGTACCATTTCTTCTAATGATGGTGTTATTAAACCAGATAACCCAATTATATCTGAATTGTAAATGACATCTGAATTATGGTTTTCATATTAGTGCTGGCACGATATATCAGTGAATTGATGTATCGCATTACAACATGCCACGATGCGCGTATGGTATCGCAACCTCGCGTATCGATACTTGACGATACCACTCATTCCATTAAAAAGTGGGGTTTTTTTTATCAGTCGGAGATCGTAAGCACAAAATTTTTCCATACTGACTTGACCAAGTATTGTTTGTACCGAATATCACAGTTCTAAAGTTATAAATTGATAATTATTGAAACTCCGAAGATAAAATGTTCATTTTTATCCTATCGTGATACGTATTGTATTGTGGCATGATTGACAATACCCAGCACCATTTCATAATCAATGCCTACCACCCTTGAAATCTACTAAATAACACCTTCTTACCTGCATTATTCTGTATTGCTGCCTCTAAAATTTTTTCACAGGGTGTCATAACTCCTAAATCTATTACTCTGAAAGTTATCATTTGATGAAAAACATAATATTTTTTTTCATTTTGCAGGAAGATAGAACATAGAATAGGAAATGTGTTAAAACTTCAAAACACAATATTGAGTTATAACATTCGGCAATTCTCAATATCAAGCTATTACAAAGTGTGTCTAATACCTTGACTGCAATAGTCTTCTTTCTTGTATCACAGAAATTTGTAAATTTGATTGGATTATACAGTCAACCAAACCAATGACACATGCAACCAAATTGTTTAGTCTCTCTGTCGAGGGTTCTGACTGGCTGTATTCTGTAGAGTACAATCCAATCAAATTGCTGTATTTACAAACAAGAAAGGTGGCTGTTGCAGTATTACATACAGTTCGTAATAGCTTGACATGAAGAAGATGTCAATTCTGGTAATTTGAAATATTTACACCTTATATCCATACCAATATGAAACACACATCGGTGTAAAAGTAAGTAATAGGGCCTACTTACTTATAATTATTACAACCTAATACAACACCCACTATATTTTTACCAATATCATGTACATCACCTTTTACTGTTGCCATAATTACAGTTCCTGCATATGATGGTTCCTGCAAATTTTCAAATACATAAATAAGAACACAATATATTTCCCAAGATATTTTCATCATTGTGTTGATATTTCATGCCTGCCTAATCTTTATTCCTTAGATAGATACTAGGGTCATGGGTTCTTATAATATTTACTCATTAATCCAGTCTACCCTGCTGTAAATGGGTACAGATTATCCAGTAAAAGATCAGTGCCAAGGACCGTCTTTTAAAATAAGATGTTTTTATCCTGGTTAGAAATGGTTGCTTCTCTCTTTCTAAAAAAAGATACATACACAAGCTGTAGTGCCTTCAGCCATCGACGCATTTCTTTCTTCTTCCATAAATGGTATAAGATGAGCTACAGCTTTCTTCATAACTCTAGCTGACTTGATGACTTGTGGTAGAAACATTTTACCAGACCCAAATAATTCTCCAACCACATTCATTCCCTACAAAATATAGGCATTGCTACTCCTAGAGACATTGATACTAGAAGATGTTTCCTGATTAAAAGAAATCTGACGTCTGATATGTCTACTATTGCTGTAAATTGGTGGCGCTAGATTGTAAAAGTTCTGAAAATGTTCCGTTTGTTCCAATTCTGGCCTCCATCGAACGGTACGAAAGCGGATATGTCATATTCATAATTTTCACATCTATTACTTCCTACACCATTTTGAATTCTGTCTACACCTACTATTGGAACACAAGACCTGTTCCAAATTTGTTTTTAATGAACGATTGGTTGATTCCATGACTCCTAAATGTGCAGAATTAACCGATTGAGCGACCTTGTGCTGCTTTTCCAAGGGAAATAACTCTTATAGATAAGTCGTACGACCACCTTGCATATATTACAATATTTTCACTGTTCAAACAACTGGATTAACTTGAAACAAGTAATACTTACATTCATTAATGGTCCTTCAATAATATTCAAAGGTCTGGGATATTTTTCTTTACATAATCTAGCTTCTTCTGTATCTTCTATAACATACTTATCAATTCCCTAAAACAATGACTAAATGAATTAATCCTCCAACATACTTCCTCAACAAGATCTACAATGTTGCAGTCAATTCTGAGCAATTCAGAAATAATTGTGTGATCTGCAAAATTTCACATCATGAAGGAGGTTTTTGACAGGCACACCAACCATTTGGTCTTGGTTATATTATTTTATGCCCTACTGGCTGGTGACAAAAGATTGTACAGTTCATGGTGTAGACATAGCACGGGTCTTTTTTTTAAATAAAAATGCTAATGAACATCAGTCCTACCAACAAGCCCCGTAAAATGGCCAGAGCTTGATACAGTGACTTAAGATTTATTTTTTTGAATAAGTTGATTATTTCAGTCGGTTATAACATTGGTTCTTTACATGACGTCATTTTCTTGGTTACGTTGAGCGAATGGCGGCTGTGGATTTCAATCTCGATCGACGTGTGAAAGTCGGATGTCCTTGAATAAGTCATCTTCACTCATAATTCCAGTTGACCCAGCTGTAAATGGGTATGGATAATCCGGGAAAGATCAACGCCAAGAGGTTTGACCAAGGACCAGCTGGTAGAAAGGATCCTTAACTGTGAACCTAAGTTCTTATCCTTGTAAAATATAATTGCACTAACTGACCTTAACTAAGGCTGTTTTTAATCTTTCTTCAACATCAGTACTCCTCCATGTTTCATCAGCTTTATCTTTCTTGGCACTTTTACCCATTTTCTTAAAACAAAAATTACAAAGATGAAATATCAGCATCGATATGTAAAAAGCATTTTTTTCAGGATTCCAAAGTGGGACGTCTTTTTATAGTATTAGTGAATGTGGGCCTGTTGGCCAAACTCAATTTTTCAGAAACCTTACAAAAACTTTAGAAATTGTTTTCAAAAGTTGCAAGCTAAGCCATTGTTTCAAAAATAATTATAGTGATCATGCTACAGAACTAATTCTAGTGGAGAAGAAAATCAATAAAATTTTTGGACTTTGGACCAAATAGATTGAAGAAAAACCTTGTGGACAATTATAATCCTAGGATTATCCCTCTGCAAAGACTGAGACTTACCTGTGCACACTCTAATAATTTCTCAGTACCCTCAGGATCTTTATTCCATATAATATTTTCTACCAATAACAATAAATCTTTATCTATATCATCATAAACTGGTAAACATCCAGCATTTATAATAGCCATATCTAAACCAGCCTGAAATATCATATCAATATATTAGTTCTGTATATGATCACATGGGTGATGCTCTCAGACATTGCCAGACATCTCAACTCTTCAAAATTTTCATATAACAATAAACATATATTATCCCAAAAAAGCATAAAAATATCAAAGCTTCTAAGGTATCTTACTCACTTTCTGAAAACACTCCATATTACTTCAATGACTGAGATAGAGATTATGGTTAGAAAGCAATAGCCAAGGATATCGTTCCACAAAGTTTACGATTATGACATGAATTTACGGGTATCATAAGTTTATGATTACGTGTTCTCCAAAAAAAAGTCTTAAGATTAGAATTACAAGCAATCGAAAGTAATTCTTGTGGAAAAAGGCAAACAAAGACATGTGCATCTGTTACTCCATCAATGATTTGGCCACTTACGTCAGTGATTCATTCTGTCATAACGTAAATGCTACAGAACAAAACAAGTGATATTGATGAATTATAATCCCAAAGTGAAATCTTATGATTTCTTGATGTATTTGAAGTTAAATCATCTGTATCTTTCTACTACTTGTCAAATAATTTTTAAGCTTGCACCTGGAGGGTTAAGAAACCTACCTTAATGGCATGATAAAGGAAGACACTATGCATTGGTTCTCTTACAGCATCCATACCACGGAATGAAAAAGACACATTGGAAACTCCACCACTTACTCTCACACCTGGTAAATTTTTCTGAAATAAAACACTTTAAATAAAGAATAGAATACATTCTCCTTATTTTCTTTACCAGCTGTAAGAGCTAATAGAACTCGATGCTTAACGTGCACAGCCTGTAGCACACAGGGCCTCAGAACGGCTAGACGCTTTTTCCATATCAGCCCCTTTTACCTACATCACAGACTGGGTTGAAAAATCCGAAGGCATCATCTCGACCTATGCCTGTATTGAACCCTGGACCTTCAGGTTAGCGAGCAAGAGTCTAACTCACTGGACACCATGCCTCCTGTCTAGACTACAATATATCTCATTACTCCCCAAAATTTTAAAAATACCACCTTGGGAGTAATTACACCTAGGTTGAAAACCCCTGCTTTAGGTAAAGAGAATTTTTGAATTCTTACCTTTATAATAGCACAGGCTTCAATAAAAGTTATAGCATAGGTATTATGTTCTTCTATACCAGTGGCAATTGTTAATATATTAGGATCAAATATAATATCATTGGGATTAAATCCCACTTTATTGACTAATATATCATAGGATCGTTTACAAATACTGAATTTTCTATCTGTTTCTGTAGCCTGTAAACAATTAAAATCAACTTCAAAATACACCAAATTAAACATGTTCAGATATATGGTATGATTGTTATATAGATTCAGAATGAACTAATTTAAGCATAGTAAAACTGATTTTGGGCCACTGTCCTCTCTTGTTTAAGACAAACAGCACTGTTGTTTCTGGGAGTTGTTAAAGCCATCTATTCAAAAAAAAGCTACAATTTGCTCCATTTTGATAGCACAGTTGCCTTTCAAGCAATGAATGCCACAGGCACATAGCCAGATTGTTCGGAGGGGGAATTAATATATCTGGAGGAGCAATGGTGTATGGTGTTTAGTTGAAGTAATGGTACTGATCGATTGTCAGAATTTTTTCAGAAGACACAATCTACTTATACACTGTAACTACGGGACAATGCCATACTATCATTATAATGTCCAAGTTCTTTGGAATTACAGGAACCAAAGACCCCAAACAGGGTATTGGAATGGAACAAGTAGAATCTATAACTATTCAAGATAACATACAAAATAGAGAAAACCATTTTTGGATCATATTGATAAAATGACATGGATACCTGTCCTTCTTCATCAAAAGCCATAACAACAACAGCACCACCATATCTTTTAATTTTCTTAGATTTCTCTATAAAGTCTTCTTCTCCTTCTTTTAAACTGATACTATTAACAATACATTTAGATTGGGTACTCTTCAATCCAGCTTCAATTACAGCAAAATTAGATGAATCAATGCAGAGTGGAACCTAGAGAAAACAAACTTCATATCTACATACATTCACAACTAAAATATACACTATTTTAGTTAAAGAGACAGATGTGCCATTTATTTTGACCAATCATACTCTAATCTCAGAAAGAGGAATTTTTTAGGTAAGCCAATCAGTAATATTCGCAGATCACTGTTGAAATTTGAGTCTTCAAATCCATTTGTGTCAAGAATGATCCACGTTTGAATGTTACATGACGACTCGTGAATTTAAGATACTCTGTGATATATAGAAAAGACATATATAGAAATAGCGAGTAAAATTCCTAGTTTGAAGTATTTATTAAGGAATAATGTACATTTCTAGTACTTTTTACTATTTACCTACATTCAAGACTAATATCACTCCCCCAAAAGCCGCACCAACCCCTTTAACATAGTGTTCAATGCTTTAAAGATTAATTTCTAAAGAAATATTAAACAGACAATTGATCTTTTATCAGCCAGTGTCAGAGCCAGGTTTACGTCCGAGGGGGGCCAAATACCTTAGGTTGGCCAAATTTCTAACCTAGTTATGAGATTTTTGCCGAAAAACATGCCTACGGGGCTGCGAGGGGGGCAGGTGTTGCAGGTGTCCCCTCTGCCCTACAAGTAGTACTTGTTTGGGTGTGTGCAGTTCAAGACAAGTTCAGATCTTTTGTTCATAGAAGTGTGTTTTTAGGCAAGCTTTTCAGTTTAACATGATTATGTTTGAGACACCATGAGCCAAAATGTTCTTGAGGTAGCCATTGATAAAGTTGGGAGAATCCAAATATAAGACAAGATTTAAAGAAATATTACTCTTGCTATATCTGGTTCACTAGATATTAAATTAACAAATTTAGTCATAGCTGCTACACCATCTAATAGCCCTTCATCCATATTGACATCTAAAACCTGGGCACCATTTTCTACTTGTAACTTGGCTACACTCAAAGCTTCCTGAAATATTAATTTTAAATGGGTAATTCAAATCTACCTGATATTATCTGTACTTCCTTTCATGTTAGCAGTAGGGCTGGATAAAGTGATCAAATAATCGATTATCATCACTAGGAATTTATAATTTTTTATTATTGGGTAAGATATGTTAACATGAAATTGTTTAAATCTTTGCAAATGGCCCATTCCAAAAAGATCTTTATTTGTAGGTAATATACATATTAAAGAAGCAATTAGGCACTTTCAGTACTTGGGGCAAGAGCAATAACAGCTGTTTCTCAAATTTGAACTTATCTTGGATTCATGATTTGTATACTCTAGAAATGTAAATTCTGCAGCACTAACAAGCAAACAGATTTAACAAACTATAAACTATGTATCCATATAAACTCAAAATTAATAAAAAAAAAAAATCGAATGCTGTGTGATCTAGTAAGGATTGACTTGGTAGATGGATGAAATGCGAGTTTTATGTCCACCTATCTTGCGGAAATAATGAAAACAGAAGAAAGACTTTACCTCATAAGCACCAGTCTTAATGAGTCTACAGAACTTTCTAGAACCAGCAACATTACATCTTTCACCAATATTAATAAAGTTAGTAAATTTTCCTATATACATTGGTTCTAATCCTAAAGGAAATAGAAAATATGATATCTAATTCATTCAGGAATTGATTAATATTTCTTTACGTTCATTATGGTATTAAATACCAACTATTTACTAACTAGCAAAATAATTTGTGTACTAATAATAAATCAAAGGAATTGTAAAGAGGTTTTCTTAATTTTTCATGTGTATTCAGTCAGACATTTGTAGCAACTAAGCATTTAATGATATCACTATCCCAAAAACTGCTTATATGACAAAAGACCCTTTGCAATAGTGACGTCATAAAACGGTTATTGTTTGTGGAATTGCAGGAACCACAAATGGTGCAAATATCAATGTCCCCGATATACACACAAAAGTTAGAAAACCTCTTATGCCTAGTTCACACCAACGGCAAATGCCGCGCTTTAAATCAGCTTTTCCAAAAATATCACGATCTCTTAAGTAATGTTACGCTCTGATAAGCTCTGATACGAATTGGTTACGCTTTGGGGACGAATTATTTCCCGATTTGATCAGGTCTTGTTACGGTTTAAATCACGCTTTGATAAGCTTTATTAAGCTTTGATGCGGTTATGACGCTTTAAATCACGCTCTGATACGATTATCAAGCTCTGTTGTGCATTGTTAAGCTCTGTTACATATTGGAAAATTTCGAAATGGCTGATTTCATGCCGCTTTTGATCAAGTGGTGACAGACTGTGAAGACTGGGGTCCCCACTTTGAATAAAGCTCTGTTAAGCTTTCCTACGCTTTGAGTCAAGCTTTGCTGAACTTTGTTACGCTTTGTTAAGCTTTGATACGTTCTCGGCGCTTTAATCAATTCGTGACAGAGCGCCCAAAATTTTTAAACAGTTTAAAATTTTTTGGCGCTCTTGCCGAATATCCAGCTTTGCTCAAAGCTTTCCAACGATCTATTACGACCCTGGCGCTTTGGTCGAGCTTTGTTACGCTTTGGTACCGCTTTGTACGCCGCTTTAAAGCGCCATCAAAGCGCCGTTGGTGTGAAGTGAGCATTAACAATCCCATTAAATCATTTTCTTCTTTAGCCTATACCTCAAATAATTAACTTAAAGATCTTATGGCCCAGTTCAGGAACTTTTTTACGATCTTTTTTGAATAATTACTGAATGGTGGGTTTTCATTCCAACTTTCTGAAATAATACAACTCTGAAATCAACTAGGTTTATAAACACAGCATTCATACTTATATAAGCATATTTTTCCCCCAACTAAACCCCATGAACTCTTGATTAAACCAATATAATATTTACCACATAATAACATAGTGTCTTCATGTAAGGTAGCAGGAGGTACTCTTGGTGGTAAACCACGTACAGCTTCAGATATAGCTCTGAAATAATATTCAATTAATACATAAATTTCATAATTTAACTTGAGTCATTTGAAATTTGTGAAAGCTAAAAAATGCAGCCGATTTACCACAGCGATTTTAGCCTCTATTATTTTCAACCTCCCACTGAACTGATGGTCAATGCATGTTGTATAATTTATACTTTATATTCAATTGAAAAACAACCTGATATGATCAGGAGTGGTACCACAACATCCACCAACAATATTTACTAAACCATCTTTAACAAAACCTTGTAACTGTTCAGCTGTCATTTCTGGTGTTTCATCATAATCACCAAATGTATTGGGTAGACCTGATAATAACAAGTCAGAAATTTTATCATTAGGCTGATAATAACAAGTCAGAAATACAAACGTATTATTTAGGCTGATAATAACAAGTCAAATACAAATGTATTATGTAGGTAAGCCAATAACAAGTCAGAAATACAAATGTATTATGAAGGTAGGCCAATAACAAGTCAGAAATACAAATGTATTATGTAGGTAGGCCAATAACAAGTCAGAAATACAAATGTATTATTTATGCTGATAATAACAAGTCAGAAATACAAATGTATTGGGTAGACCTGATAATAACAAGTTAGAAATACAAATGTATCATGTAGGTAGGCTAAAAACATCAACAAAATGAGAAGTACAAATGTACTAAGAAAAACAAATTCTTTTCTCCACCATTTTGAATTCAGTCTGTACTGTATTTGTTTTGAACGAACTGAATGTCCATTTGATAGCATAAATCCTGTGCAGAGCACATTCAGATCTCACCAATCAAGTGACCCCTTGTATTGGTATTTTCAATGTATGTTTTGTTTTGGGACACTTGAAATCTGAAAAGTTAGGATTTGTGAATAAGTAGTTTACCTGCATTAGGATAACAGATTGTAAAAGCTGTAGTGTTTAAACTAACAGCTTCTATAAAAGGTCTGATTTCTCTAGCACCTAAAGCACAATTCAATCCTAGGCTGAATTAGAAAAAAATCAGCGATGTTATATTCCAAACATCTACAAAGCTAACTATAAATAGTATATAAAGATATGATAAATTAAAATTTTGTACACATTCTATTCCATACTATTTACAAAGTTTTAAATGGCTGATACTAGATCATTTTTGGCAAAATAAAACTTTGATGGAACCGGAGACATGACATAAATGGTGTAGGGAGAAAATGATGGTATGACTGAACTACAAAAATATTCATCTTTCCAAATATACCTGGGTTTTGCAGATCCAAGGTATCTAAATAGGAGATGTGGAATTTCCCCATTTAACAGGGCTTATTATTTCTGTCTCTACACAAGCTGACATCCAAGTAGCTATCAGAGGCTGGAATAGAGACAGATGTTTCGGTCTAACTATATACAATCAGAGAGCTATGCGAATTTTGTTATCAAGGTTTGACATCTATCCATCCCATTTCTTTCACTTTCACAATGCCAAGCTATTACAGACTTCATACTTATACTATTCTTTAATTTGATTGGATTGTACGGCAGCAAATACGGCCAATCACAGCCCATGACAGAAAGGTTATAAAGGTTACATGGCTTTGTGTTCACAGACTTTCCGTCAAGGCCTCTGATTTGCTAGTGTACAATCCAATCATATTGTTGCGTTCCGTGGACATCAACTTCCATGATACAAGAAAGGTGACCATTGTAGTCAAGGTAAAAATATGAAGTTCATAATAACTTGACATTGTGAAGATGATCACCTAACTACCTTGCCTATTAAAAATTGCAAAAAAAGCAGAAATATAATCATTTAAACAAAAATTTAACATTTTAGAATGTAGACTTTAGATTCAACCACTGAGCATCTCAACTCCCCACAGCTGACTGATAAATTATTCAGGGGATCTAATTAATGTAAGAATCTTACCACATAGGTTTAGAATGAGAGACACTGATGATAAAGGCCTCTGTAGTTTGTCCTGAAAGTGTTCTACCACTCTTATCAACAATAGTTCCTGATACCTGTTAACATATAAAATAATGTATTAATTATATATCATAGCTTTTTAAACAATATCTTAATATGAGTTGGATACCAAAAATTTGAAAAGAAGATTTTCTATATATGGTCTCAAGAAAAGTTGAAGAGTTGTCATTTTAACTTTCAAATGTGAACAAATTCTAGACATACATGGATTTTGACAGTGAGCTCTGAACACTATTTCTGATTAGTTTAGCTAAAATATTCCTGTTTCTGAGACAAAACTTCAATTGGTCAAACATATAGCGAACCTGTTCCTTGAATATTTATGTCAAAATACGCTCCAAAGATAAAACAAAACTTCATAGTTTGTATGGGGTGTTGGAGACAATATGATCTCGATAAAGTCCCCCGGCATGTGAAGCTAACACTCGTGTGCTATTCTTACTATCAAAAATTGTTGAAAAATAACATGATAACTTACAAAAACTGGACATCTATCACCTCTTTCTTCAAATACATTTTCTATTGCAAACAAAGCAGCCTTAAATTATAGAGAATTTAAATGGTACACAATATTGATGAACAAATAGAACAACATTTGCAGTGGCGGTGCAAGCTTTCTGAGACTGGGGGTACAAATAGGGGGCAGACTGACTCAATGGGGGGACAACTGCTGAGGCTGAATTCAATTTTTGGCAACTCTGTGGTGGTGTTATAGTTGTAATTCTCTTATAGAGAGTCTTAGAGGGTTCTCTCAAGAAATTTTAGAAAAAATGAATTGATTTTGTGCATTCTGACACATATTTTGGAGAAAAAAGGTACACATTTAGATTTGTTGAAAATAAAGTGGGGGTACAATTGGGGGTGCAAACCACTTTTCTAGGGGGGGAATGCCCCCCTGTACCCTACTGGCACCGTCCCTGAACATTTGAATACTAACACTCAGCTGATATCTGAAGGGATTAAGAGAATATATCAAGCTTATCATAAGCATACAGAGTCTATTTGGATTTTGTATATAGAAAATCAAATTGCTAATTTCATGTGCTGATTAATTATTTTTCTGATGCTAATTGCCTTAAAAATGTTTGATTAAGTAATTGTTAGTACAATGTTTGATGAAAATATTGTTTGCATGAGAATAAACTGATAACAATTTAAAAGCAATATGTTTTTACATTCAATATTGAACTACCTTAGCATTTGCTGTATCAAAAATAGTTTCTACTAATAATAAATCTACACCACCATCTAGTAAACCATTAGCTTGTTCACTGTAGGCTGATACTAACTCATCAAAAGCTGAAAGAAAGTAACAGTATATATTGACATCAAAGTGTACTACAATAAACCAGTAAGAATTTGGAGCCTCTGATTAAATATTAGTTATGGATCAACTATAACTTGTAAAGCTGAGAGAACAATAATATATTTATATAAATATATTCACTGTTGAAATAGTGCTCTGATGTTCAATCTTATCATGATAAACTCGTGAATTAACAAGCATTGAAAAAGTCACATATGAATAATGAAATTCCAGTAGTGGGGAGTTAAATTTTGGTCTACTATAGAATTGTTGTCAAAGGTCTCTAGTTTCAACTCCCTCATTTTTTATGTTTGTGCTTCCGCCTTGTGTCAGCTTTCACAAAAGGCCAGTTTATGCTCTGTAAAGCAAAATGCAGAATATTTCGCGCTTGTGAGTAGCAAGCCTCAAAGTTCAGCAATAAAGACTTTCACTATACCTTTGAAAGTTCATTTTCAAGCTAAGCGAAGGATGTGTTCTACTTCTTCGCTTGGAAACCAACCTGAGACACTGTAAAAGCTGACAAAACAAACGTTGATGTATTTGTCTAAAGTTTCTTTTTAGCTCAACATTTGAAAACTTGACATTGCAAAGTTTAGAGGAGCATAAACCAATCTTAACTCGATGTGGTTGTATTGATCCATATTCATTATGGAGGTTTAAAGGCTACAGAGAACTGCACTTGTTACGATAAGCGATTTCTACTTACTAATGTTTCTGTATTCTGGTTTTTCTACAGACGGTGAAATAGATAAAGTTCTATTGGTAGGTCCCATAGCTCCAGCTACATATCTTTTCACACCTAAAATCACGAGAGGATGAAATATAACATGATGTATAATATACTGTAGAAAGTGAATGATAAACACCAGTAAGAATTCAGTATGGTATTGAGTAAGATGGCTTGCCAGACATGGTAACATATGCCCACTGCAGCATTTGGAATAAACAGATTTTTTTTTTCAGGGACATCAACTTTGATTTAGATCTAATTGATATGTCATTGTAAGCTTCAGCTGGAACTAACAAGGTATTACTGACGCTTTCCACACCGCCAAGAGCAATAACTCTAAAACTATTCATCGAAACATTGTCATCTTCTAACTAAGCCATCTGCATAAGCATGATGAATTTCATCAAAAATAAGTTAAAACTCTCGTTTCTGTTGAGTTAACAAGCTGATAATATAAAATCAAGGGCAATAATTTTTTTAAAAATACCTGTCGCATCTGTGACTACTTTGGCTGCTTTCTTGGCTAGTTTAGCTGCTTCAACATTTAACCTGTATACCTGCAATGTATATATATCTCCTTCAATTCATTATTCGCAAGGCATGTTTTAATCAGAAATAGAGAAAAGTTAAAAATCAATAACACGGTAGTAACTTTGATTTTTTTTGGTATCTTACTTCTTGTTACAAAACATTTATTTATGATTTTCAAATTTTCAACCCTTTTTGTATATTTCTATATATCTCTCTGTAATCCACAATCCACTAAGCATCATTGTAACAGTGAAAATAATATTTGTCTATCCTTGTACATGTCATATCTATTGCATTTCTTTGTTATCATGAAAAATAATAAATCCATGATATTCTTTTCTTATTGTATACCTGTTTTTCAAGACCATAATCTGCTTGAGCTATCGATGTTCCACTAAATGTATTGGTTTCTGCAAAATCAGCACCAGCTTCAAAATATTGCTAGAAAAAAAAATTCATATAAAAAATAATGGTAGCCATATATAAACATGAATTATCAGCTCAATTCCAGACTCTTTTGCTATTTTTGATTGCTGAGTGGAAAACAAAATTCACTTTTAAATCATATGCCAATATTAGCTATCAACAGCACAAGTTTATTGATAACAAATTGGTTATCAAAAACAAAGACTTATTATTTCACAAAACAAACTGACAATATTTCTAAAAGATAATGGTTATCAGTTTAGAAAAATTCAGATGTTAGAGGGATTGTAAAGAGGTTTTCTAAATTGTGTATGTGTATCGGGGACACTGATAGCTTCAATTTGCGCCACATCAATTCACGCCTTTCCAATTTTCAATCAGATGTCTGTGGTTCTAGCAATTATGACATCACCCCTGCAAAGGTCTTATGTGATACAAGCAAATATTGCAGGGGTGACGTCGTAAAACACTTAAATTTTAGTGGAATTGCAGGAACCACACACATCTGATTGAAAATTGGAATGGTGCAAATTGATGCTATCAGTGTTCCCGATACAAATAAAAAATTTAGAAATCCACTTAACAATCCCTTTAAATGCAACAACCACTACCATTGCAATCCAAGTTTCATAAAACACATAATGTACATTTACCTTGTGTATTTCATAAATAAGATCGGGTTTGGTCAGACATAGAATATCATTATTTCCTTTTAAACTCTTGGGATGATCTACAAACTCAGTGCCAATAAAATCTTTTTCTTCCAATTTCTCTCTTTGAATCATAGTTCCCATTCCGCCATCAAATATCATGACTCTCTCTCGTAGGGTGTTGGCTATCTCCATTTCTACACCTACACAGATTTACAATTTATTAATGTTAAAACATATACCGGTATATAAAAAAAGAAAATCACCTTAAAATACTTGGGGATGCAGTTGACTAAAAATTTTAACTTCAAAATAGTATTCAAAGTCTTAAAAGAACAAGTTTGCCATCCGTTTGACCAATCGCACCTTAGTCTCAAAAACAGGGACTTTTTAGCTAAGTTAATCAGTGGTCTAATAGACTAGGCTACTGTTTTGATATTTCAATTCACTTAAGAATAGTCCAATTAGCTTATCTCGAAAGTGAGAGATAGAAAGACCTATTCAAAAATTTCAAATATAAACATTATTACTAGAGAAAAAAACTTTAATAAAAATTCAATTCAAACCACAATAGAACTATAGCATACATATACAGTTCTGTGTAAATGTTAAAACAAACTAACTTTAAAACAATTGTCATGCAAATAAAAATATAAGAGAGAGTGGTAATCCTACCCTTCAATTTGGGAATATCAGAAATTAATTTTTCTGGCATTTTGATTGTTGTCAATGTTGTATTTCTTTAATAAATTTACTGTCAATGAACTTTAGTTTTGATCACGACCTGCACACATGTTTCCACTCAGAATACAATGTTATCAATGACACAATATTGGAATATGACAGCGAATTTATACTTTTTATTTTTCTCCAAAACAGGTATTAAAATAGTAAATACAAATGTCTGCATTGGAAAATATTTTTTAAAAATCAAAATCCTATTAGTTCAATACATAGAATCATTTTCCACAAAACTATTACTCTAGATTTTAATGAAGACTGGCATTTATAAACGAGCAGATTCCGTATTTCTTTCTTTTTTTCACACGTCATATAACTAATTTTTTTAGGGTATTAACCTAAATATGGGTCGACTGGTCATTATAGATTTGAATATCCAGACCATATTGTAAACGATAAATTTTATCTTGATAACCGAGTTTATAAGTTCAGACATACCGACCACGGACGAATCGATTATGATAACGTTCAACATCAGACAAGACATCCCTACCATTAACTAACAACTAAATTCGATGTGGATTACTTTGAACACAATTCAACGCAATCAAAGTTGATCACGAAATTGTGATATTAATGTTTTTTTTTTCTTCAGCGAACTTATCCGATTTCAAGAGAATCAGATTGTGGCAAATGTGGTTAGCCATATCTTATTTACAGTGCAATAATACATCGAATATAACAGAAATAGGATTAGAGGCGGCGCCCGTCTCACGAGGAGACTGACTCATTAAGGGGACCTGACCGGCGCCACCACTGGATAGAATGGTTTTTTTTAATACCGGTATTGGAAATACCACATGTATACACTTTACATTGATAAGTAGGCCTAATATGTATTTCATATATCACAGTAATGGATGTACCAGATAGTCCTACATCTTAGTGGCTAACATACCGAAGATTACATAAGTATACGTAGGCTACACTGGATAATAAAAAATAACAATAGTTTAAAGAGGATATAAAGATTATTTTGACAGGCGCTTATAATTAGAAATATACCAATACTGCTTACATATACACAAAGATTAAAATAGCAATTTAATTTGCAGCTTGTAAATATGTGTGGATTAAACAATAAAATAATTTATGAAGAATTGGCTACTGCTCGTAGACTGTGGCATTTATTAAGACTATAGCAATGGATTGTGCAGGTAATTTGGAACAAATCAAAGTTGTATATTGTGTAAAATGGGGATCAAGGTATACAAGCCAGGTCAAAATATGGGCGTGGAGATCCATAATTGTATGAAAAATTCGAATTAATGGTCTCAAAAAAGATAGCAATATAGGCATAAATTAAGGGTAATTACAAATAAGAAAAGATGCTCACAAAAAAATGAACTTACTTTATCAAAAAAAGCGGAATGTCCCTTTAAGTTATGGCAATTTTAGTTACTATTTCACTGAAATCAAGCTAAGAGTCACTTTTTCAAATTTTACAAACAAGAAAAGGTAAATAAATGGTATAATAAAAAAAACCGGTTTTAAATATGATAATCTTTATCAAATGTGAAGATATAGTGCGAGAACTCCGTCTGTGGCCATCTACTCTCGACCTCTCGCCCACTAGAAAGCGAGGGGAAAAAAGGCTAGGCAAAAGGCGAGAAAGCGGACAAAAGGGCGAAAATTCTAAAATCGTCTTCCTTGCTTTCTCATCCTTTTCTTCGCCTTACCCTCGTTTTCTCGCCTTTTTTTTCTCGTATTGTGGCCTTTTCCCCACTTTCTCGTGGGCGAGGGTAGATATGGCCGCAGTCGGCTTAAATAATCCTTATACCAGTACCAGTATTAAAAAGATACTGAAATCACACAGTGAAAATCGTTTTCTCAATTTTTGTTTACAATTTCATGCTTGGAAAATCTTATTTTAAAAATTTTCATTCAAATGCGAGGAATAAAATGTAGCCGAAGAATATACGTATACTGAACAGCAGGTTCATAAAAATCTAACCAAACCTGTTGGCTTTGCAACGCTTGCCAGGAAAGGTAATATACGCTCGCTGGCAGCTTTGATTTTAAATAAAAATAATTGACAGTAATGACAATAAACAGTATGAAATATTCAATATAACCACACTTCTTTCAAACTTTTTGCATGATAATGAATAATATTAGCAAGTTATGTCAAAATCTGATGGCAAGAACTGCCAGAGATAGAGAACAATTATTCATTCATTTCTTGTAAGCTGGATCCTGATTTTGTCAAGATTTTGTTTTATTACTCAGCAACGTTTTCATATACAAATATACATGCAACATGATTTTCATGCAATTTGTTGAGGAATTCTATAGCAAGATGCGAGGAGGGGATTGACGATTGATGCCAACTTTCTTCTGGTTTGTCCTCTGGATTTTATCTTACCTTGAGAGAAATTCACATCCCTGAAGCTAATCTCAATGAAGATGATAATCCTACTCGCTCAAACCAAGTCAAGATCATTCCATTACTGATACAGAAAATTTGCATCAAATCACCCAACAAATTATAATCCATCTGTCGACAATATCTATTGATAGAGCTTCCCACATGCACTGTATTGAAAGTACTAAGGTTTAAAAGGACAAATGTGCCATTTTGGGGGTTGATTTGAGTTTTGAATGTATGTAAATAGTCTTCAGAAGTACTAGAAATGTACGAAAATCGCATAATTCCTTCAAAAATATCGCAAACTAGGAATTTCTTTTCCTATTTCTATGAATGTCTTTTCTATATATGGCAGTGTCTCCAAAAAAGACGACTCATCTTTTTAACTTTCAAACTATAATAATTCTGTATATAAGCCTCCTAGATAACATACAATGGCTGTAAAAGCACTTTTGAGTACCCATAGTATTTCAACAACAAAGTGAATGGTGGACCTAAATAAGGCACATAATGTTCGATATAGATAAAATGGTAGAAAAGAAACTCCAAATTCACATTTCAACAATTATTGCTTTATAATAATATTAATCATCATAAAATGATATTCATATATCACTTTTACCCAACATCGAAACAAGAGTTAACAAAGCATAAAAAAATGATAAAAATAAATAGATTGCTGTACGTATCATTTGAAACAGAACTTAAGATTAATCTGAAAAAATAATAAATTTTCCATATTAGACATGTAATTTTAAAGTACTATGCTTCATTTTATGGATAATTTGTATTGAAGTATCACACTTGACAACTGCTTTGTTAAACTGTATTAGTAGACTATGTCTCACTTTCCATTTTGAAGGCTTTGACAAAATATTTCTCCAATTTGTCACAATTAACAAATTTGCCTACTTTAACACATAATCAAGTCATACTGTATACATGATATTTTGTCAAATTTTACATCAATGCCTAAGTACAGTACAATATATCTACACAATTTTATCGAGCCATTCACTGGTTTAAGTTTAATATGCAAATTTTCAAAGTATTTCTTATATCTAGTCCGAAACATCAACTTACACTCCAGACTCTGATAATTATTTAGACAGTTATTTGCTAAAGGAGAGTCAAAAAAACTAGGCCTTATTTTATGGAGATTTTCCACACCCCTGAAGGTGTGTTCTTCTAACATAATATTAAATTAATATAATTATAAATAATGACTGTAGATTAATGTTGGGCATCACAGTAATTTTCGTTTAGTTAGCATCACATGACTCTGTGATCCTTAAACTTTGGCTGTGTCCGCAGTTCTTAATGGCCCACAAGAGATTAGTTCCACTGTTTCACATAATGGGTTATGATGGTATGACTGAACTACAAAAATATCCCTCTTTCCCACTATATCTGGGTTTGGTGGATCCAATTTAAATATATAGGTTTAAATTCCCCGCACTTTAAGAGGTGCGAAAAAATTCCTGAAAAAAAGGGCCTAGTTTTTTTGTCTCTACATTAGCCGACAACTTTCAAAATAGCTATAAGAGGCTGGAAAAGAGGCAGATGTTTCCGTCTTTCTCGCATCATGAGTTGAAACGTTGAAACTTTAACCAGTGATTGTTTTCCCATAAAGCTGTGTCTATATATTGTGTTTACAATTGCAAAATGCCTTTCAAAGACACAAGTAACAATTTGATTGTATCATTTGTCAACAGGGCCTTGAATTAGTAACGAATTCTAACTGGTTTGCTTAGTACAGTCTATACAGCCTAAATATTTAATTAACAAGCAATAGCACTTTGATCTTCATTTGGATTGAAAATAAAACCATCTCTGAAAAGGGTCCTTCAGCAATAAACTATGATAGATATTTTTTTAAGTACACATACTCTACAATTGACACATCAAAATATTTACAATTTGAATAATACAGAGTTTATATAGATAACATAGTCATTCACTGAATCTGTTTAGTCAAAAGCTTATTATTTACACAAAAATATTGCTCATCTCCAAATAGTCTGTCCATCTTTATAGGCTCCATATCATACAGCACAAAACATGTTTGTACATTCTATTATTTCCAAAACTTCTTCAAAAGTTTTTTGGAAACTTTTCCTGTGAAAAAATACTTGTGATTCATTGTTCTCAATCTATAACCACATTTTGTTTTCTGAAATTTTATACAATTCACTTAAGAAATGTCTGATCCTTAAAGATCTCGCTAAAAATTCCTTATTTGGTCTTTTATTTACACGTTAAATGATGATGTAGTCCACAAAGAAATGAATCCATTAGACATCAACAATCCAACACAGTCCTTTGATTCACAAATAATTATCACAATCATGCTCCATAAACATCAACATTTGGTTTTATGATATATTAATTAATATATTAATATTAATTGTTTCTGCTGTTTGATCCAATTGTTTTAAACAAATAAAGCTTTTAATTTTTTGATATTATTATTTCAAAAAGTTGTATATATCTCTGTATTCTAATAGATTTCTGTTGAAATTCTAATCAATTTTAAGTTTAGACAATTGCAAATCAAAGCTTTGAATTTAGACTAGATATTTATTTGTTTTATTTAAAAGCTTGAAGAAAGCATGTCATTATGATCACTTAGCTACTCTGTTTCCGTGAATGAACATGTTTATATGTACGAGGCGGTAATGCAGGCAGTTCTAGTGCTTCACCGCCATTTATGTCCAGGTTTGAAGTTGAATGGTTAGGAAAACTTTTATCAGAACTGTGACGTGGTAATGTTGAGCTGGAGGATTGTGGGATAATTGGTCGTGCTTGTGACGACAGACTGAATGAACGTGGTAAGGTGCTGAAATCTTTCCTTGGTGGAACTGGTGGTGGTTCTCCACAACTATCATGGCGTGGAGGTGGTATAGGCGGATATGACAGTGCCGATAAACTGACATCTGGTTCATTATGTTTACGTCTGGGTGGTAAAGGCGGAGGCTTCAAAACTGGGGGTTCCAAAGGGTCATTGCCATCTGAAAAAAGATGTTACAAAAAATTACATTCAAATCTAAAGACGCACTAATCATAAATTGATGTAATTTTCTTAATCGAATTTTGTTCAACGGCAGGAAACCAGCCCAAGCAGCCAGGTTATTGCATACTACCAGCTTTGTCCATCACTTGGTTTAGATCTCTGGATTTCAAGCACTGACTTTGAACACAAATATAGAATCTTCTCCCACTCTTCCAAACCTTGTTTGGCATGTGCTGAAGAAACTTTGCTAGCAATAGCCTGATCACCAACTATAAGGAATTTTATCATGCAGAGCTATATCTTAACGCCTATTTTAGCAAGCATACCTCTTACTGGCTGGTGGGGAGCCACAGTGGCTAAGTGAGTTAGGCCCATGCTTGCTAACCTGAAGGTCCTGAGATAATACCTTCAGATTTTTTAACCCAGTTTCCCCATCAGTGATGCAGGTAAGAGGGGCGACATGGAAAAAGCGTCTAGTGGCTTGGATGGGACAATTAACCAAAGCCCTACGTGCTACAGCCTGTACACGTTAAAGATCCCTCGACAGTTGGAAATTGAAAAAGACCACGTTAATGCATCTGTCGTGCAGAAATTTCCCTCATTGCACTCTGCATGGCGTTGCCCGTCTTCATTAGCCCAAATGGTGCAGAAAAGTAGGATGTAAAACTCCATTTCATTTCATTTCTTACTGGCCGAGTCACAACAGAACCTAGAACAAGAGATAAGTAATGTTCATGCTTACCTATACCATCAATACTGACTTGTGAGATATCAAATGATGACTCACTACCAAAACTACCAACAATTGTATTAGAACTTGATATTGTATATGTACTACCATGTAATGATCCATCCCCAGCTCCAAGGGCTGTTGGTGTGTGGGGTGTGCTTGGGGTAGGAGGAGTAGCACATGATGGGGAGGAGGAGTCATCGTCCTCGGAAGTCTTTGGAATATTAAATGGAAAGGATTGACTGGATCGTGATAAACTCTGTCTTTGACCAGATAATAATTTAACACCAGGTGATTTCAATGAGTAGTCTAGGTATTTCTTAGGCTGAAAATAAAATGCATTAAGTCTTGAACAAAAAATGATTTGAAAAAAATATCAGTTAACATAAAAGATCTGGCCTCAATTTAGGAGACATTTTCATTTGAAAAAACATCATTTGCTGTTGTGAGGAATATACGTCATATCAAATCAAAACTTATGGCATTTTATATAATATACATTATATGCATATAAATTGGTGCCCTTTTTTTTCGACTTCAAAGCATATAAAATGACTCAAAATGCTGGAGTATTTTTAGTGGTAATAGTACAGAAAGTTTTTAAATTTTCACAGCCTACCAGCAACATTATTGGGTAATACTTACATATTTAGTAGCCTGCTTAGCTCCTCTAGGTTCAATATCTAATGATCTTTCATATAAATAGTCCACAAACTCTTTCTCAGTCATACCATTTAATGGACTTAACTTTTCAAAATATTCCTAAAATAACAAACAGTATGTAGACATATATAGATACCATCAAAACAACACTATTACCTCGCAAAGAGTATTAACATTTTGAATTTAACTATGGAAAATATTTGGGTAAATTTATAACATTTTGATCTGCGGATTCTTATATTTTTTCTATGAATTTTTTTGGGGCTCATCAACATTCTTCATTCCCAATTTTATTATTTGGTTTATGATGTAATTCCATATATATACTTTTCATATCATCTAGACCATCCTATGTTTCTTTCCTTTTAATTAATGAAAACATATCATGATGAGGACAGAACTAAAGTTAAGAACCAGCACAGCCATTTTTTAGCAACATCCATGAATTTGATGATATACCAAAATATGATTCGATCTGCAACTTTGCAACCTAAAATCTCTTCACTGTAGCTAGCAAATATTCTGATGTCATATAGCTTTATGTGCTTGTCGGGTCCAATTATCGAATATTAGTGTCGGAATTCAAAGTATACAGCATGGTGTAGCACTAAAAGTCTTTTTAGACTGACAATATAGAATATAAATCATGACTCTGATGTCTGATTTTACAGATCGCTGTAAAACTCAGATGTTGAAATTTAAAAAGTAGTTTAATAAATAAGAAAACAAATAACCAAAAAACTTACTCTTATAGAAGGTTCAACTCGTAAACAATAAGGTTGGTTTTGATATTGCTGTATTTCACCAGTAATTTCAGCAACCTTTCTTCTCTTACTAAAATTGATCAGACCTTTTGGACGATTCTGTAGAAAATCTGGATTGCCTTCTTCAGTTAACAATATAATTGTCAAATACATTCCTGAAGAAAAGAAAGTCATAGACGAAATGAAAATATGCAATAATATTTATAGCTCTTGTTACATCTTTGATCTTTTGTAACAGAAATATCATTTTAACCTCTATTCTGAAGATCAGGCAGTAAGCAATAAAGTAAATTTGACATGATAGCAGTAACACTTCATCCACTTTACTTCAGCTGTTTAAAAATGGGTTCCCTTATTTTCATTTATGAAAATGAAAATGCTAATATGAATAGAAAATAGTGGTGTTCTAATGAGTTGGAAAAATACCAGTTTGTCTCACTTGTCCATAATTAATTCATAATTAGCTAAATTAAAAGAGAATTACCAACAGAATTCCAATGAGTGATCGATCAAAAAAGATCAATATGTTTTTTTTTTTTGTTTATCCAGACTGTACATACATGAACATTTATGATAAGTTAAAATAAGAAAATAATGATATGATTAAGAATACATGATAATTCGTTAGAAACACCAATTAATAAAAAAGTTTGCTTAATTGGGCTTGAATACAAATCACAGTGACTAGACAACTAACAATAACTAGACACTACAGTGATCAAATAATAAATGATTGAATAAATCTAAGACTTACCAAGAAAAGGAACACAAGGAGGATTAATAGAACGTAATTTCTCTGTATATTTTTTATAATGATCAGAATTTAATTCTTTAGCCTCATCAAAACATTTATACAGTTTATGTGGTAATTCCTGTAAAACAATCAATATTACATTATTGTTATTATTTGTTGTATATTTTTGATAGAGAAAGACTGTAAGGTACCCACAGGTAATAAGTAGTTGACTATTTACTTAATATAAACTTAAATGATAATATAGGTCTTGAAACACAATCTTTCCATCAGCAGTGTATATTACTGAGTGACCTAATGCAAATTTAAATAGCAGTTATCTATGTGTTATTTGGGGATTACCATCAATGTTGTAGCAGTCATTATGCATCTTCTGTCAAGGGAACAGGCTAATTCACATACTTAACTAGGTTTATCTGGCAAAAGACTTCACTTTATCAGTAAAAAGATTATTCTAACGCAAGCAATGAATGATTGACCCACTGTAATTATGATGATATATATACATTGTATAAGATTTCAACTTTATCTGTACCAGATCATGTAATTAGGCAGTGAGTCCATAATTCACTAATGAAATGTATTAACTATACCATTGGAAGATTGGTGAAAATGCATCAATCTGCCTAAATAGTTTAGGGTCAAAAGATCAATAATTCTATATGTTTGTCATGTAATAATAAGAGAGTAAATACCTTAAAAGTATGTTCTAAACGATGAACTGGGGCTGAAACTAATGCACTAACAACTTCTAATACACCATTAAAATTATTAAGTTCTTGGAACACTAACATAATCTCTATAATACGTGACATAACAGTGACTCTTTCTTCTAGATTATCAGCTTCAATAATACATTTCTCCATCCAAAATGTAAACTGAAAAAAAATAAACATTTGATGGTGTTAATTTATCACAAAACAAGGAAAGACAGTAAAGATTATCATAATTATCTAAGTTGAAGAAAAACATTGGCATAGTCTTGATTATCCATTATAAATGAACAAATAGATCAGATAAAATACTGGATGTCAGAGAAAAATCCAGAAAATTTGGCATTCTCCAAAAAATAAGACAATTTAAAAAAAAAATGAGATGAATGGAGTTTTACATCCTACTCTTCAAGCACCTAATAAAGACAGGCATTGCCATGCAATGTGCAATGAGGAGAATTTTGCCAGGACAGCCGCATAAGCCTACTCTTTTTTGATTTCCAACTTTTAATGTTCCCAGTCTGTGGCACACAGGACCTCAGTTTATAGTCACATCCGAAATACTAGACGCTTTTTCCACGTTTATAATAATCTATCAAATACATACCATAGTAGAATGATGTATCATCTTTAAAAGATTGGGTGATGTTTTCTCTTTATCTTTTTTAATCCAAACACTACCCACTAATTCTGATGGTTGTACAGCACGATATAGATCAAATTCTAACAATGTTACTTGTCTAGCTATCTCTACTGGATGTAACTAAAAATAAGCATAAATTTAGATAAAAGATCCGACATCAGGAAATGATTCAGATATACCTTGATAGCAAAGGCCACCTTTCTTGTATCATGGAATAGTAATACAGCAATTTGATTGGATTGTAAGCTACCGAATACAGCTAATCAGAGCCCTTGACATAATGAGTGTAAAGATATTGGCTTATTGTTTACAGACATTCTGTTGAAGCCACTGATTGGCTGCATGTATTAACTTCTGTGACACAAATAAAGTGGCTATTCCAGTCAAGGTATAAGACAAAGCTTGACATTGTGAAGATGATTGATAGCACAAGGTCCTCAAAATATTGTCCTATTGGGACTGACAACGGGAAAAACTGGATTGATAAATGTGACACACAAAAAACAGTGGTTAGTTTTCAAATCCTCGAGCATACGATGTTGGATACTTTAGTCTCTTTAAGATTGACAACGCTATTACAGTGAAATAAACTTACTGTCATTAAGTCAAATTCAGTATATATTTTAGTCAGATGCCATTCTATAGCAGGTAATTCTGTTTGATATGTTATTTCTCTTTCAGCATTCACACTCTCTCTTCTTCTACAAATAACTTTCAAAATGGATTCCGCCATTTTCTTCATTGCTTTGCCTTTAACAGTTGCCAGAAAATCTTTTAACTTGGTAAGTAAGGTTTCATCTCGTTCAAAATCATAAAAATGTTGATCTACCCAATGTTTGAGTACATTTACCATTCTACAATAAATAGTAGTTTTATGAATCATTAGAATAGGTGGGGGTCAAGTAGTGGCCACAGAATTGTCAACCGGGCTCACAGCACCATGCATTGACGAACACAATGATAAGAAATTTGAAACTAGGGGGTTGGGCAGACTAGCCTTAGTTCTTGAGGAAACACCATTGGTTGTGCCATAATACAAGTTTTTAAAATCTTGATTTAATAATCGGCAATTTATTACAATACATACACAATAATGAAATGAAACGTATTTGTAACACTTTACTTTCATTTTTTTTTTTTTTTTTCTTTAGTAAAGGCGGAAGCAATAGCTTACTCTTTGTTGATTTCCAAGTGTTACAAATAAAGCAGAATGATAGTCTTACCTAAATTTAACAGGTTTAACATATTCTTTACGAAATCTCTTTAAATCTTCTCTTGTTTTAAGATTAGGATCAATTTCAACAGTGTTAGTAGAAATATCATCATTACATACTTCTATATCTGGTATATCAAATCTATAAACAAACAAACAAAACTTTAAAATTTTACATTCTGAAAAAATAATCATCAATTTGTATCAAGAATTAACTGTTTAATACCTTGTACATAATATCTAGAAACAAACAAGAAAGGTTGGTAAACATGATGACATATGTCCACTGCCACAAATTAACAACAAATATTTGTTTAAAAATAAACACTTCTAAGAACATTACACTATACCATCACATCTTAGGAATTATATCTTTTTGAGTGTTTTAAGGGGGGAACACATTTTGCAGAGTAACTAGACAATTACGTGTATATTTTGTTTTCAAAAGGGATTTTCATGTCTTACTCAAATCAATCCAGAACTGAGCCTGTTTTAACAAGTTTTATTAACTTATGCGGATAGACTAAATGTCAGAATAGACTCTATATTTTCTGCAAAACTAAAAAAAAGGTTTAAACAATAGTCATATTGAGACTTGGAAAATTTCAAAATCTGACCTACCTCTCAATTAGTAGATCTAAGAGTTCATGTGGACTACAGAATGATCTATAAGTTGTCAGAAATGTACGAACAAATTTAGGATCTGCATACATATGATATGTGAGCCGTTCAATTAACTTAACGAGGAGACCTCCTTTAATTAGAGGACTTTCAATGGAAGAGTCTTGGTTTTCTTCAAATACTATATTTTCTTCTGAATTTTCTTCGGCAAATCTGAAAAATGCATTAAACAAGTTAAGATTTTTGTATTAAATGGTCATTCACTTGACCTTCATACCAACATTCTACTCATGCCCTGTAATATATTCCACATAATGCTTTCTCTTCAAAAAATATTGAAAACATAATCAGTTATTCATTTAAGGGATTGTAAGGAGGTTTTCTAAACTTTTTATGTGTATCGTGGACACTTGATAGCTTCAATTTGCACCATTGCACTTTTCATTCCGACATCTGTGGTTCCTGCAATTACAGTAAAACTAGCGCGTTTTATGACATCACTAGAGGAACTGCATAGATATCAATAGTAGCTTCCAGTAGCTCCCCTCTAGTGATGTCATGAGAGTTTTAGTGGAATAGCAAGAACCAACGAAGTCGGAACGAAGACACATATTAAAAATTTAGAAAATCTCTTTACAATCCCTTTAACAGACACAGACTGAAAGATCCTAATGTATCATACGCCAAACCCAGAGTCTAGAAACAATATTATAACTAACTGAGCCTAAAAGGACAGTATCATGTTACATTTCCTTACAATGTAAGACATCTACAGCAATTATGGTAAAATACATCAACCAATAATAATACATACCTATATTTATCAGGAGAAGGGAGACAGAGAGGATGTTGTTTTTCTTCTTCTTTTAGTTTACTATCTAATGTTCTCTCTAACATACTACAAATAAATAATATTGAATACAGTTTCATTAATCAAGATTTCTAATCCATGAAACAACAGAAAGAAAGAAACAACTATATTTTACAAGGAATTTAGATTCACAGTTAAGGATCCTTTCCACCAGCTGGTCCTTGGTCAAACCTCTTGGCATTGATCTTTCCTGGCTTATCTGTAGCCATTTACAGCTGGGTTGACTGGAATTATGAGTGAAAACTTATTCAAGGCCATCAGACTATCACACGCCGATCGAGAATTGAACCCACAGCCGCCATTTGCTCGATGTAACCATACAAATGACGTCATGTTGAGAACAATTGCTCTATCCGACTGTGCTATAGAAGCTATAGGGAGAAAGTCAATTTTGACTAAAGCCCTACCCTATTATTATCAGTGACCTCTTCAATTTCAATGAATCTGTATTAATGAAGAGACATAACTGGTCTCCTATGTCAAGGGTCAATGCACATCCTACACATAGCCATCTTTTATGAGAATAAAATTCTACTTAAACACATGAACACTTATTGATTAAGGGAATTTGACCTTTTCTAGCTCTTAGATAAAAAACCATGTTTTATAAACATGAAAACAGCATTAAACTTACCTTCTAGTTTGTAATGAAACTAAGGCTGCCATCCAGTTGGCTTTATCTTCTATTGATTTGGCAGTAAGATATAATACAGGGTGATCTCTAGGATGTAACTCAATAACATGACGTAAGTCTAGAAAGTAAAAAAAATATTTAATCATATATTCTCTCCGATGCAATTGACTAAAATCTTGATTTAACTTATAACATTGACTGATTAAAATGGATATTTTTCATTTTGTGTTTTTGTGTTCTGCAGGCTACCCTATACAATGATCGTACACGATGATCTGATAAAATCATCTTCAATCATTGTAGTCAACTTTGGTCTCATGCTCGAAAAAGTTGTCAATTAGAACTTGGTTTAAAGCTGGCTGATGATCACTTTTTAAAATTTATATTCTAGAATTCTGCATTTAGACATATCATTTGATGAAACTCTTAATTCTAATAACCTACAACATGTGTTCTGTAACCATAGCAACAGATCATGAAATGTCTAGATCAGCATTTTAATAATCAGTTTGTAACATTGAATAGATGTAAGAAGTTCTGTTTATTCAAAAACATAAGGAAAGGAAACATGAAAATTACCATCAAAGTCATCTCTATCTCTGATTTCAATTTTTCTGATAAAATATCTCTCTTTTAGTTTATATTCAGCAGAGGAACCTGTTATAGATGATCTTCTGGTTTGTTTACACAGTATAATTAAATTATCAAATAAAAATACATGTCTATCTGACGGTCTTCTACCAGTATGTTTAGTTAATTCTCCTTCTACAATACAATACATATAGAAGCAAATTTAACAATTATCATTACTTGCTATATCTACTGTTTATAAGACATATAGAAATAGGAGTAGGTAAAGAAGCACAAGATTATATGGATATACTATTTCTGACAATTATTAACTCAACGTTTCACATGCTCATACAG